CCACTGGGGAACAAAAAAATACCCTCAGGCAGTGTAAGTACTTCTTGCCCATATTTCCCTGGACTTCATTACATTTCATTCAATAAACCAGAAATAGTAATAGATTAAATTTATATAAACCAGAAATTGTTTTTTAATATTATTATGATTTTTATTTAATATGATTTCTGGTTATTAAATTAAATGTAATTTGCTGAAATAACAAATATTTGTCTGTACCAATATATCTATGTTGTGTGCACTCAGGATGAGATCTGCAGCTTCTGTGGAATTATAGACAAATATTTGTAATTTCAGCATTCAGTTAACTGGAACAATCAGACCAAGTTAAAAATCAGTCTGTACACAGTATGTATTTTGCTTCTCTACCGCCTTGCTATGGGAAAGATGACTTGGAGTTAACATACCAGTGGTTCTTTCACATGAGACACAACTCTCCCCGTGCTTTATATATTTGCAACAGGACAGGAGGTTTCATATTTCCTCCTGTAGCCGTTTGTTTTATCTGTTAAAGTTTGATTTCTCAGTTGGCCTTTAAGGTATCTGAGTGTATGAAGGGGGACTGCATCGTGTTTTTAATTAGGGGAATATAATTAATACTATTTACACTTTCTGATCGAGTTAATAAATTAAAACCAGATGTAAAACACCCTCCAAAAAATCCCAATGATGGCATCAGCACAGAATTTTTTTTCTCTGCCAGGTGCAACATATCTATGTGCTGTTGCAACGGGGATCTCACACGACCAACTTATTGAGCTCATTTAACACAAAAACCCCAAAAAACTCTTACAGGAGTTGCTCATGGAAAGCAGCTGGCAGTCAATATGAAAAGGAGACCTACTCAAATGGCAAAGCCCTCTCCATCCTCTCCGAGAAGCCCCCGGGAGGGGTCGGGAGCCCTAGCGCAGCCAGGCTGAGGCAGGTGCCCCTGACCTGATCTCCTTGCCTTTTTTTGGGTTGGGCAATAAGTAAGGGCTAAATTTTGTCTTGCCCAAACCAGGCTGAACCTCTGCATCACACAGCAGAAAACACAACTGCAGAAATCATGAGTGTCTACAGGTGAAGTCTTGCAATACGGAGTTTTCCAAGAGCCTGAGCTCTGCTGG